CTTTTTGGATTGTTCCAAAACAGTATCTTTGCACCGAAAGGAATCAACTGACCTGGAAAATCTTCTTCGAATCGGAGTTTCCATGGGGCATCATCACCGTTGAGCTGTGGCGTGGCATTCACTGCCATGGAGAAATGCTGCATAGCCATTGGCCAATACTGCAATGGAAGACCGGACTGCACAAGGTTTGTGCGTGTGCCTTCAAGCATGTGCCTGATCTCCCTCTCCACAAACGACTTTGAACTGTCCACGTACTCTGTTGACGTTTGATGTCTGTACCCCAACTCTGAAATTGTAGCAATAAGTTCTCGTGAATTGTCAGTGTAAACTGCCCCAACTTCATCCTTGTGAGATAAGAAGTGGTTGAAAGCGTTGACACATGACTCACTCGATTTGGTCTGACTTGGATAAACGTGCCTGAACTGAGTGTGGATGTCCTTCATCACCAATGCCACTGTTTCACCTTTGACGCCTTCTTCCACATTGGATTTGATTACAGTGTGGTCAGCGACGATGTGATCCCCAAAACTTTTGGTTTCCAGTCTTTTCTGTCCCCCTTTCTTCTTTGCGGGTGGCGCCATCATGCGCGCCTTCTGACAGATCTTGCAAAATGGATTCTTGGGGTAATGGCAAAATTGGTGAGATTTGCTGCATGCCTCTTGCTCAAGGTCGGATGCCTTTCTAGACCTGATGTAATCGGTTTCACTATCATGAGCTACTCCCTCATCCACACCTTCTTCATCGGCACCTTCTGCTTTTGCAGCAACCATTGCAAAAAGACGTAACAAATCACAATCTTTCTTGAACTGTCCACTGTTCAAAACACGACAAGAGCTATCAATAACCGGCACACGGCCGTCTACGTTGAGCTCGATGACTCCCATATCCGGACGAATGAAGTAAGGCCTACCATCAGCCGGCCAAACAAAGCTGTATCCCTGTTCCATACATCTTACCCCGACCGAAAGAACAGCAGGAGTTTCCTCAAGAATGTATGGTGAGAACGGCTGGTGCAGGGCATCGACCTTTACGTCGGCCACCTCATCCGCACGTGTCGAACCGTTGGCTGTTGCAAGACTGATTGGAGTGTCACTGACACGGCGATTTGTTGCCTTTGCAGTCTTCAACATGCCTTCACTGATCAGGTCCTGTTCACTACCGGTATCAACCAACCAAACACATCCGTCTTTTGAAGCAGGAGTGGCAACAGTTGGCAAATGAGTGTTACTGAGTTTGTTCTTTGGACCGATCAGAGCTCTGCAGTGGTTACATGAGACTCCACCTTCTGGGTCATTGCATCGGAAACGGCATTTGGGCTGCACATCGTTGCCGAAGAGCTTCACAAGTTCCTGCAACTGTCTGGCCGAAACCTGAGCACGGTGAGCAGTGAGTTTTGCCGGCTTTGGCACTGACTCTGAATCGGGGAACGTCTTCTCATAGATTCGGGGTTTGTGCACTACCTTTCTCTGTTCGCCTGTTGCTGGTACTTTGATGTATTCCACTTTTGATGAAAATACAACAGCTCTATGGCATTGTTCTTTCATGGCCTTTGTAGCCTTTGGCAACCCTTTTCCCTTTGCTATGCATGCATACCTTTGAGTAATGCATGGCGCAGCTTTTGCACTGGCCTTCTTCTTTGGTGCAGGGCTATTAGTGCGCTTTGGATCCTTTGTGGGTGCAGCTGCAACTTCATGTTTGTAGAAACATTTGTCACCACGACGACATTTGCCCTGTTGGAAGTAAGTGCATGGGATTTTGGCCATCTCTTCCCTTGACTTTCTGTTAGGGGAACCACTTCTGCTACCGCCTTTGCCCTTACCCTTCTTTTTGGGAGTGCCAGATCTTGAGGAATCCTTGACATGCTTGTAGGGACAGTCTTTACCCTTTTCGCACTTGCCATCCCTGAACTTGTAACATATCTTATCCCCTTTTCCACTCTGGCTTCGACCACGGGATCGACCTCGATCACCTTTTCCTTTGCCGCGATCTTTGCCCCCCTGAGCGGGTGCAGCGGGCTGAGGCTTTTCGGTCTGTTTGTTCTTTTCAACGATTCTGTTTCTGTTTGAACGGAGTCTTTCTCTATCCAAAAGATCACGAATGTTTCTCAATAAGAATGCATAAGACTTCTGTTCCGACTTTTCAGGAGCTCTGTCGAATGCTTCAATGTCATACTTCATCAATTGGCATTTTCGGATTTGTCTAAGTAGGATGTCTCTGAGAACCAAATCATCTGGTGGGGTTTCCATGCCGGCAATTGTGGCGTCCCATCGGTTCAGAAACCTTCTAAGGTCCTCCACGGATTCTCCAGTGCGAACGACTCCAAGTAGGTCCTCCACGCGATAGAGACTGCCAGCTTCCTCAGACGTCCTGAAGTAGTCTTCAAACATCAAAAGGACTCTCCTACCTCTAACTTGGATCCCTTTCTTTGACTTCTCATCTTTGAAGTTGTGGATCTTTGTTGCTAAATCACCTTTGGCCGAGCGAGTTAACGCTGCCGACAACTTGGTATCAAGTGTGATGAATTTCCCAGGTTCCTGCAGCTTTTCCTCCAACTTTTCCCTAGGAGTTTTGTTGTCAAAGACTTCATTGAGCCAAAGCCAAGCCTTATCGGGTTTGTCGGAGCACGACTTGACTTCATCTCTGACATGATTACGCCAGTGACGATACGCTTCCGGGGCAGGCATGTCGTTCAGTTTGATAGTCTCTGCCTCTTTTGTTCGGGGCTTTTCACCATCTGAATCCTTTGAAGTCAGTCTAGTGATGAGATCTAGCAATTGTTGACCTGAAAGACCTAAGCCTGCATCAGCAGCTTTCTTGCCGGTGTCGCTTGCTATTGCTGTAGGACTGGGCACACTTTGTTCTTGGTTTGCATCATCATCGTTTTGTCTTTGAACTGGCAATGGTGGCAGTTTTGGAGGTGCTGCTGATCCGGCAGGGGTTGTTGAGAATAAGTTGCTCAATCTTTCTTTAGCGTCCACGGCTAAGCTGCTCATACCAGTGTTTGGCATGGGTTCTGCTCCAGCCTTGGTACCGACCGCTGATTTTTGGGTCAAGTACAAATCGACATTGTTCCCGCCTTGTGCATCATCAACTTCGACGGCTCTGTCGACCTTGATTTCAGGGGCGCTGTACTTGTTGAGCTTCTCCATCAAATCCTCCACTTGTCCCTGCAGTTGATAGTTGAGTTCAGCAGCTTGGTTTTCCTGCCTACTGCATTCCTCTCTAATCTCCTGGATTACAGCTTGTTCCTCCTTCTTGAAACCTTCCATGCCATTCTTTGCATACTCCACTGTTTCGTCCACGATTCGTTTACAGTCTGCCTCGAGGCTACCTCTGAGTTCAGAAAACCTTTGTTCGTACTGGGCTGTAACATGGGCTACCTTTTGGTTTGCTCTTTGCTCAGCTTCCAGTGCAACTGCATTTGCAGCGTTTTTCAGCTTTGCGTTTGCATCGCTAAGTTCCTGTCTCAGTTTTGCGACCTCATGCTCAGTTGCCGTTTGGGACATTGAATACTCTGACACTAGGTGTTCATGTCTACGATCAGCTTCTGCACGTTGATGGGCAATTTCACTAAGGCAAATTCCCTCAAACTCTTGGTACAGTTGCTGGACCTTTTGTTCCATGAGATGTGTGTGTCTCTCTTCTGCCTCTCGTCTGAAAGCGTCAATGTTACCTTCATTAATGTAGGTAAGATTGTTCTGCACGAACTGAAAATATGCCTGGACGGGCTGTGTGAAGAAACCTTCATCTACCGACATGGGCGTGGGAGTTGCCCCAGCCGTCGCAGGCTGAGATCCAGTTGATGCAGTCGCCATTGTTCCTGATGCAGGTACGGGAGCACCACCACCACCTGTAGCATCATGTGATTTGTCCATGGCTTTAGAGACTACGGCTGATAACCTGTATTTTCAGGTTTCAGCGGGGTAAACTATGTTATACCCAAGTAGACTGATAAACCTAAATAACAATGGGCAAAACCGTTAAGCACCTGCGACTCACTCCTTTTTCCTGAGCCGCAACAGCTGTCAGATATATCTATTATACATGGGTTTTATGGTGGAGTGCAAATACAGTGGTTAGTAAGTGCATGGGAAGTGGATAGTAAGCATGGTTAGAAAGTGGCATGAGTTTTCCCACTTTGAAATGGAACACCACCACAAAACAGAAACATATAAGCATCTCCAAGCAGTCAGTCAGGACAGCATCTGGCATTGATGAGGTTTACCCTGCGGCAATCAAACATGGCTTGCTGGGAACTCACCCATTTGTTCGATGAGTTTCCCATGAACACCTCCATTTACAGGGGATGTTCCATTGCCATCTTTGATTACCAGAGTCCCAGACACCGCTATCGAAGTGGTTCTATCCCAATTCTGAATCATCAATCCCATTCCCGCACTGGGCCGCAAATTTAATCAATAAACCACCATCCAACGACCTTATGAATTAAATGGCAGAAAGACATCACGAAAATCATATTATGATGTCACCATCCCCCAACCCGCCAAAATGAATCATGTTGAATACATCGTCAACACATTCCCTCAGAAACATCACCAAATTTCCCCTATCTCTAGAAGATACCAAAAAAAAAGAATTTGTCAAAAAACATGTGACAAGCCCATCCCCCTCTACCCCCCAAACAGATTCATATTCTATAAATCTTGAACCAAAATCACCCAAAACATTCTTGACCGAACAGGTTCATCTGCAATAAATCCTCCCTCAATTTAAGATAGCCTTCATGCTTGCGGACATCAAACGGTAGAAAGTGGCGTAGAAACCAACTCATTTTTTAAGGGTACATACCATTCATCTAAGTGGCCTATAATATGATTCAGTACTCCCCCACTTCCTAACCACTGTATCTAACTCATGCCATGTTGGAAATCCCAGCATATCTTCCACTCAACGCTTACATCTATCACAAAAATCCCTGAAACCTCCATGAACTCCCCATTTGTCTTGGGTCAACCACCGGACTTCGCTGTCCCCCGCACCTCTAAAGTGGACTTGGCCACGGCGCTGCTGAATTCTGAGGAGCTCTGGGCCAGGGCGTTGAGCTTCGTGGTCACTGTCTTGTTGACGTCCTGGAGCTTCTCCTCTAGGTCCTGCGGGGTCGTTTTTCACCAACTGTTTTTTTTCCAGCAAATTTTCACCTGGGATGAGAAACCTGGGATTGAGAAACTTAAGGGATTTTTAGTAACACATCTGGGATCTTAGCCTGAGGTTTACTGAGAAGCTTGGTTGTTAAGCAACAAGTTTGGGATTTAAATTTGAATGTTTCATTCAATCAAAAATCTTTGGGGAGCGCACCAAGAAAACATGGGTCAGTTTTGGATTCCAGCAGCAGCAAGTTCTGTCTTGGAAAAAAAATGCTAGGGACTTTTAGTAGCAGGTAGCAGCTAATGGTGGTCCAACCAACAACAACCGGGATTTCATCAGCAATCATGCGGCTTCTCCTGCAATTCCTGTGTTGGGACATTCTGTTGCAGACGTACGGTGCTTTAACGAAAACATTTGGCATATAACAAACATACTCAGAGTTTCAAGTCCTTGGTGCCAAAAAAGGGTGATGTAATCGGACAAAAACTGTAGATTTTGGCTTGACCAACAACAATGACTTCTTCGACGCATCCTGTGGCTCTGCTGATACAGCGGCCACACATCATGGTACAAATGAAAAACATGGTAAATCAGTCACAAATCACACTTCATGCTGCTTTTATCTCCAATTTTTGGTATACCTGGTGGTCACATTAGCTGGTAAGATCCTACCCCTAAATAACAAGCACGCCCGCTTTTTGCAGTTTCCCTTGCTGCCATATGTTCACCCCTTCACCTTCAGACAAACCTCCACCTTAAATCCAACAGCAGCCCATCAATCCAAAAACATTGCCCAATAAACCCGCATTCTTCGGTTTATGGGAATGGGTCCCAACCGTGTACCTCTGTTTTTCCGAAACAAAAAACACCAAATAATTGGTGTTTGGATGCTCCTCCACCCTTGGACATTTCTGGGCGTGTTTGAAACTGGATCAAAACAGGATCTGCTCCCAAATGGCCATTTTAGAGTAAAACATAGTAAAACTCATCATTCACCATGCCATACCTTTTTAGACAAACTCTTCATTAAAAAATGTTGTAAACATGGTAAATCCGATAAAACACAATCCCCAAAAATCACCATAAAATACGCGCAATAACCCCCAAATGGTATATGTAGCACATATGTTTTGATCCATCTCCGTTTGTACAAACGCGGCTGCCGTGCCGCGGCTTGGCACCTTCTTTCCCATGGTCTTCACCACCATCTGGGCGGCCTTCACGGCAGCGTTCACCTGGCCCACGGCGCCCGAGTAGAAGGGCACATACTCTGCGATCGTGTCCTGGAGCAGTGGTGGGGCCGTGGTAGTTGTGGTTGGTGCTTTATAAACTTATGTCTACAGTATAATATAAAACTATATTGGTATTATCATGGGTGCTTGATTAATATGGGGCTAATATAGATCAACTTAGCAGTTCCGAACTGGGGCACCACCGTGGAAGTGGTATGTAACCCTTCCACGGCTAAACCGGACGCAGCCACGGCAAAGAAACAAGGATAAATTCATGACTATTCATTATCATCCCAAATAGGGTGAACATCAAAAAAACTCTTTGAAACAACCTCGTTCGGTTTGCGGAGTCGTGGTGCGGCCGTCTGGTTTGGCAGTTGTTTTGATGAAATTCATGGGAAATCCAGCGCGCTGGCACCATCTCATGGGGCCATATGGGGCCCCAACAGGCTGCAGGCCTTAACCAAGGCTTTGAACTTGGTCAAGTTCTGGCTCGCATCCTCCGCTTTGCTGGCCAATTTCTTGTAGTCGTCCAAAGATTTATTGAAGGCCACCTGAGTTGGTGAGTTGGTTGGTTCTAGAGGGTTGAATGATGTTGGGTGCGTTTTTTTTTTGGGTTCCCCCCGGGGGATTCCCCCCTAATAAAAATAAAGGAACAACCAAGTAGGTAATTAGCGGCAAATGATTTCTAGGTTTCCGCTTCTGTCAAACCTTTTCTGGGTTGGTATACGGAATGCGTGCTAAACAGGCTTACAACTCTCACTGGGCCCAACCGCCTAACCCAAAGAAAATCGACAAATTTTACCCCAAACGTAGGTCCGGGTTTCTCCAGTTTGACCCCAAAAGCCAAGGGGTTTACACGTTTACCCAACAAATACATGGTCTTTACCCCAACAAATCCTCTGTCCAAAGGCTACTTCCCCAAAGTAAACGCCCACCGACGTGTGAGATCAAGTGTTTCCAAGTGATGGGGGGTTCTATGAAAACGTCAAAATTTCCGATTGAAACAATATTAAACATCATTTCTCCATAGAACCCCAGCGCCACATGATGAACCCCTATTGAAGCACCATGAAAACCCCCTGTCGCAAATGTCAAATCACCTCAGCTTCCGTGGAAAATTCGTTCATCTGCACAACAATCTCGCTCATCCTCGGAACAAAAAAGGTCAGCATCAAATTATTACATTCGTAATTAATTATGTATATATATATATATAAATATAGATTGTTGAATTTTACAATCAGAGAAACAAATTTAATGGGGTTGGATGTGGTTTTACTGGCATAATTTATGGCTGAATTAAAGTCGTAATTCACTACCCCGAAAGTGGCTGAGACTTACGGCCGTTTGAAGATTCCCCATATATATATATATATATAATAGGCACCCATGACTTAGGACTTAGGTCACCATAGTGACATAGGAGTTTGTGCACCAAGTCCTAAGTCACTGGTGTTCTTACCAGGTGATTTGTGTGCAGCAAGTCCTAAGTCATTGGGGTTATGATTGGACTTAAGCACTTTTTCGGGTAAAATAAAAAGAAAAAATCTTCTCTTGATAAGTCATCAGAACCTACATACTTACATTACATTACAGTACAGTAAATTACATCACACTACGGTACATTACATTACAATACAGTAAAGTACAGTACATTACACTACAGTACATTGCATTACATTATAACACATTACAGTACATTACATTACATACATGCACAGGACTTGGTGCACAAAATCGTCTGTCACTAGAGGGGCACAAGTCCTAAGTCATCAGAACCTACATACTTACAGTACATTGCAGTACAGTACAGTACATTACACTACAGTACATTACATTACCTTACAGTAAAGTACAGTACATTACATCACACTACAGTACATTACATTACAGTAAAGTGCAGTACATTACAGTAAAGCGCAGTACATTACATTACAGTACGTTACATTACATTACATGACACTACGGTACATTACAGTACATACATGCATAGGACTTGGTGCACAAAATCGTATGTCACCAGAGGGGCACAAGTCCTAAGTCATCAGAACCTACATACTTACAGTACATTACAGTACATTACATTACATTACACTACAGTACATTACATATATTACAGTACAGTACATTACACTACATGCATGCATAGGACTTGGTGCACAAAATCGTATGCCACTAGAGGGGCACAAGTCCTAAGTCATCAGGACCTACATACTTACAGTACATTACAGTACAGTATTTACTGTACATTACAGTACAGTACATTACAGTACATAGATGCAAAGGACTTGGAAAGCGTCCATCACCAGAGGGGCACAAGGCCTAAGTCATCAGAACGTACATACATATCTTACATTACATTACAATACAGTACATTACATCCCAATACATTTTTCAATATTTTTCAATTTATTTAACTGCTTGAAAATACTGTCTGTATATAAATCGAAGGAAAAAACCGTTGTGCTTCCCTATTGTATTCCCCGTTGCACTACCCCGTCGTTGGGTCGAAGTCCTCGAGCCAATCGTTGAAAAAATGATGACTTAGGACTTGTGCCCATCTTCAAAAAAAAATATTTCACAAAAATCTGTGATTTTCCATTTTTTCCTTCGATTTATATACAGAAAGTATTTTAAAGCAATTAAATAAATTGAAAAATATAAATATTATTTTTTTTTCACTTTTCATTTTTCTCTGTTGTTTCCCGTTTTGTTTCCCCGTTGTGCTTCCCTATTGTATTCCCCGTTGCACTACCCCGTCGTTGGGCCGAAGTCCTCGAGCCTGCCTTTCCGCCAACGCGCGCGCGCGCGTTGGCGGAAAGGTGGAGAGGCTGGCCCGAGGACTTCGACCCGGTTCCCCGAGATCCAGTGCCAGCTCTCAGCCGGAAACCACAACGGGGTGTTAACGGGGAAATGTCAAAAAAATGAAAATCACAGATTTTTGAAAACCAGAAAAAACTGCTTTTGTAACATAGTGAAATGTTAAAATTTGTGCATATCTATCTGAAAAAAATTACAGATTTTTGTGACATATTTTTTTTGAAGATGGGCACAAGTCCTAAGTCATCATTTTTTCAACGATTGGCTCGAGGACTTCGACCCAACGACGGGGTAGTGCAACGGGGAATACAATAGGGAAGCACAACGGGGAAACAAAACGGGAAACAACAGAGAAAAATGAAAAGTGAAAAAAAAAATATTTATATTTTTCAATTTATTTAATTGCTTTAAAATACTTTCTGTATATAAATCGAAGGAAAAAATGGAAAATCACAGATTTTTGTGAAATATTTTTTTTGAAGATGGGCACAAGTCCTAAGTCATCATTTTTTCAACGATTGGCTCGAGGACTTCGACCCAACGACGGGGTAGTGCAACGGGGAATACAATAGGGAAGCACAACGGGGAAACAAAACGGGAAACAACAGAGAAAAATGAAAAGTGAAAAAAAAAAATATTTATATTTTTCAATTTATTTAATTGCTTTAAAATACTTTCTGTATATAAATCGAAGGAAAAAATGGAAAATCACAGATTTTTGTGAAATATTTTTTTTGAAGATGGGCACAAGTCCTAAGTCATCATTTTTTCAACGATTGGCTCGAGGACTTCGACCCAACGACGGGGTAGTGCAACGGGAAACACAAACGGGAAGCCAAACAGCTGCAGCGCACGAGCGTGATGACTTAGGATCATCTTAGTATACTTCTGCTAGTTAATTCCTGTCATCCTGGTTTTACGAGTGGTCCATGCCGCACAAAAAAAATCTAGCATAGTTTCTAATCTCATACGGACACCTGATGAGTTAGGACTTGTGCAGGGGGGGTCTGAAGCATGATGAGATAGGACTTGCCCACCCCAGGGTATCTTTCACAAGTCCTAAGTCACTGGTACCTAATATATATATATATATTTATTTATTTATTTCCCAACGATGTCACAGTGAGGTCATTATAATCTATCCACAGAATTGACAGGAAACCTGCTATTTGTTCGTCAATCATTGGGTTTTTCGGGCAATTTTTTCTATGAACCCTTCTTGGACCCACTCTTGGAGGTCTGGGGTGCTGCCATTTTTGGTCCTCGTCTTTGATTAACCATCGTGCGTTTTTTTTCAAATATATCTATACATAAATATATATATATATACACAGATAGATAGATAGATAGATAGATAGATAGATAGATAGATAGATACATAGATAGATAGATAGATAGATAGATAAATAGGTAGATAGATAGATAGGTAGATAGATAGATAGAGATTTATTTTTAATAGAGTAGGAATTCCATAGCAGACATCAGGTGTTTCAGTCCCAAGGTGAATCCAGGAAAAAGGGGCCCTCTGTCGGTCCCCCGAAAGTGGATTAACCTAAGATCCCCGTGTTTGCTTGGTTTACCGTCTGAGTCAACAAGCGGGCTACAAGTGGAGGAACTCAAATGAGACAATATGTGCCAAAAAAATGCATGTCATGCAATACGGGTTTGTCTAAGGATGGTATCCCACAAATTGATGCTTGATTTTCATATCTCCCATCAACTTTGCAATGTTTGAACATGCACCATTCTCAGACAAACCAATATCCGTTGGTTATATAGTCCATGATATTGTCCCTATTATTATCTATACCTACACACATTTTGCCGAACTGTGGCGCCAAACACAAACACAGATATAGTAGGCTCGGGTGACTTCTGACCTTGCGGTCGGTTCAGCCCAGTTTTTCTTGAACATGACATGGGATTATGTATCATTTTAGCTATGTTTTCTTGCGCATGACATGGGAGTTATACGCCTGCCTAACGGGCATTTTCCTCCTTTTCTTGACGCATGCAATGAGAAATCTTGAGACGAATCGAAGAATCTTGGGACTTCCAGGCAAGACATCTGCAAACATTTTTCCCCCTGTGTCGAACGCTGCATCGAACTGTTCTCAAGATTGAAGTGGGGCTGGTTTTCAAGCCTCAAAATGAAGCATGGCCATGCTTCCAAAGAATGGGGTAGGAATGGTTTAGGAAAGGTCAAAACGAACATATTGAATGTTGCATGGTTCCCAAGAGTGGGGCGGGAAGGGGTTGGGAAAGGCTCAAAATGCAGCGCTGGGAGAGGCTTGGGCTGCCCATGCTTTCCAAGCAAGGGGTGGGAAGGGTTTAGGATGGTTTAGGAAGGGTAAACGAACCATGAAAACGGGTTTGGGAGTTTCATGATTCCCAAGACTAGGGTGGGAAGGGTTTGGAAGCGGTTCAATGCGCACCTCAACAACAACTTCTTGTTGTAGAGGTTGTGTTGGAAGAGGAATTTGCACATGAGATGGGATTTCCAAAGTGGGAACTGGCAGGTACCCAGGAAGGCTCACAATGAAGCATGGAGAGGGCATGCTTGTCGAGAATGGGGCGGGAAGGGGATTCGGATGGTTTACGAAGGGTCAAAATAACAGGTTTGTAGCAAGCACATGTTGACCCTGCTTGTTTTACAGAACTTCGCAACAAACATCTATAACAAACTTGCAGTTCCATCCAATGTACCCCTGGAATATACTACAAAATGCCTGTAACATTCACTGAAAGTGTCCCTTGATGTCCCTTGGGTTTTCAAGGTAGAAGCAAACATATCCACTAAAAAAGTGCTATATGTTTACCCATGTTTGTCTTTTCAATGGAAATTATGCTGACACAGCTGCAGCTACAAACTCCATTTCCTAATCTCATTTTTGTGCTACAAAACCATAGGAAATCGCCGGTCTCTACCAAGCACGGCATCACAGACTTTCTGGTGGAAATTGGAATGAAGATCATATACACTCATATACCCACATCTCGTATCTTTGCTAATGTAGGAAGTGACATCTAGAGTGTAGGAGTTCGTTCACACGACATGTTTTGAATCTTGGAGAGCCTAAACAAATGCAGGGGTCCTATGTAATGTCATGTAATATTTTTCCGATGCACTTTCCAGATGAGTTATGCATGTTTTTCTTAAAACAATAACTGTTTTTACTTTGCACATGACACAGATTTTTTTGGAGAAGGTATGTCCGACTACTTCCATGACATCTGCAGGTACTATATGCATATATAACATATATATATATATATATACATACTATGTGCAAAATATAATCACCACTACCCTCCTTCAACACACGCA